ATTGATCAGATTTCCTTTAAACAGTCAAGATAAACAAATAATTACATACACAAATGTTCGCTTTTGGAGAGAAGAAATATTTGGAATTTAGAATTTAACAGTTTACAAAAAAATATTTTGAGATGTTACCAGCTGACCAGAGAAAAAAATATATTCAGGATAAGTCTGCAGAGTTCATCTCTAAATTCATGCAACATCACAGCATTTAATACCAAAGTAGAACCTTTATAGTCAAAAGAAGATCAGACAGGCTGGAGTGAAAGTGGGTTGCAAAGCAGCTTGCAAATGCACAGTTTACATAGCAGTCCGTGCTTGAACTATAGAAGTGTATCAGCTGAACCATGATGGGTGTGGACTCATACTGAGATCAGCTGATCAGTACTACACTAAATATTGTTGAGTCTGTATCACAGTGTTTTCATCTGTAGTGTTGCGTGTCTGAATTAGCTTCTTGATTTTTGTATATCCTTTAATACTGAAAACTCATTTCCTGCTCACAAAGAAGCTGACTGTTGCTTTCTCCTTCAGTAAGGTAACATATATGCAAATAAGGTAAAGTTCATAATATCTACTGATTAAGGCCTACATTTCTTGGGGAAAAATGTAATTAAAAAAAGAAAACCTTAGATATTTCTTTCAATACTCTAACACACCCCATAGCTACATGTTGTCACTCATTAGTTAGCTTTGAAACCTGAAGTTGAGGGTTTTAGTTTGGACACAATTATGTCCTGATTCTCCTTTCTTTATTCTAATGAGGACAATAATTTACAAAATGAACATCATGTTGGTTTCAATACAGAGACATGAACTCATCAGAAAAGCGTTTGTTCAAACTAGATTTGGTTTTCTACAGATGTCTACAACATAATTGCTCCCTAATGGCAATTAGAAACAATCAGGTTTATGGCACTTCTACATTGGCTTAAATTTTAACATTCAGTTTTTATCTGTGTCACACCCCCACCCCCATCTCAGCCTTGGAGGAGGATTGAACGCTGATTTCTCATTTTTCTAAAACAAGCTTCATTTTAATTTTTCACCTGCAGTTTGTTCCTTCTTTTTAATTATTTGAGGTCATCAAGGTCCACGAGGATACATCTAAGTGTATTCAAAAGTTTTATCTACAGTTTGTTTTCTCTGACTTTGCCTCTTTGGGCCCTGTTACAAACAGTCTGAAGTGGGAGATGCATTTTTCACTTTCTTTCTTGTCTCCATCTCTTTCCTGTTTAGCAGCAGGCCAGGGTTATATTGCCCTGCACTGTGTTTGTATTTTCTTCTTTATTTTTTCCTGGGCAGAGCGAAAAGCACCAGTTAATTAATACTGGGGCACTTCTACGCCAAACTCAACACTCAGCTTCAGAGGACCAGCGGCTGGCAGAGCGAGATGGGCAGTGAGAGATTGGATTTATTCATTAAAAGCCTGCAGTAAGTTATTACACCTCCGCTGAGAGGCTGCAGTGCTGAATGCTGTCCTCGTTAACGGCCTATCAAAGTGCGGTGGCGTAGAAATCGGCGGGTGAATCATCGGGCCGTCTGATCTACAGCCCAGCACTCCCGTGGTATCATTTTGTAGTGTTGGATGTGTTTCTAGTTCTGCGTTATTTGGACTCATGAGCGCACGGTGCAACGCCAAAACTGCTCTCACGAGGACGTCCAGCCTTGTTTGAAAAGAATCGCGGTTATTTTTGTTTGTGGGACTGAAAGGTCTGGAATAATAAAAATTAGTACTATCATCTACTTTTTCTTGTAACATATGTTTTTCAAACCCACACAGATTGTAGCAATGCCCGCTTTATTTGGGCCAAGCGTATCTTTTCAGGGCACAAACAGCTGAAATATTCAACTTTTTTTTTATATGCATATTTTCACTCCAAAGAGGAAGAATTGGCAGATGATGTTCTGGCTGTGGGTTGCGAAGATGGCTGAAAGTAAAAAGGAGAAGCTAAAATAAAATCTGATCTGCAGTGACAGGACCAAATTGAGGAAGTGCACATCGTTAAGGTTAGAGAAAGACGGCTGCAGTTGATCGATACTGATATTTGGTGATTTACAGCCCTGGTTCTGAAAATGTTGAGACCCTGAATAAAATGTAAATAATAATAATGCAATGAAAGTCCTCATTACACTATATTTACCTTTATACAACATCCCAACTTTTTGGAATTTGGGTTGTAACAGCAACTCATATCGGTAGCACTGAAGTTATCCTGGTGCAAATTTACAGACATTTTTCTGCCTGTTTCTTATGTCTTTTGTCAGAAAACATATTTATAATTTAAAATTAATATCTTTACTGCTGGAAAATGAAGGAATGTTTCTTCTGGGTTGCCGATGAAAGGCTTGAGCCTTGTGAATAAGATCTTAGTCACTAAAATAGAATCTAAAATGAATGCAGCATATTGCGGTGAAGCCCTGAGCCTATAAACCAGGTAATCTAAAATATATTATCCAGTAAAATGTGAAAGTACAAGACAGAAGAAAATAAAAGGCCAAAAAATGTAAATTTACTACCGCTGGTCTCAGGGCGCAGACTGTAGAGCTCACTGAAGAATATTGGTGATATATTAGGTGTACAAATATATGGTTGGTGGGCTTGGCAGTGGTTTTGATTTTGTTTTAAGCTTCACCCCAAAAAACAGAAAGGTGCTTAACAAAGTAAATTGAATTTTCAATTTTTCATGCGACAAAAGGGAAACAACCTCCAAATCTTTACAAGATATTAGAGAAATCAGGGACTGTAAAAGTTTTTTTTAATGTAGATCAATCATCCAAAATTCAGCTGCGACTTGGGGCTGTCAGTTCTGTCTGTGCTTCAGTGGAAGGCAATCCTGCTACTTCTCCTATCTGCTCGGCTCATCACCCATAGTACAGAAGCCAAGCTGTGCAGATGTGCATGCAACATCAAGAAGCTGTCGGTGGACGGCTGGTTCAAAAAACAAACAAACACACCAAAGAAAACCTCACTGAACTTTGCTTTCCTCTCAAATTTTCTAAGTCTTTTTTACTTAAAAACATTTTTTTAGGGCCAGAACCTCTTTGCTGGATGTCAAAATTGTTTTACTCGAAGGACATTTCATGATATGTCATGTTCTCTAGACCCGATCCCTTTCTGTGGCACAGTGTCATCACTCTGCTGCATTATCTCCACGGCTTTACCAGATGCATCCACACAGACCAACAAATTGCCTCGTTGTTTGATGCTTTCATTTCATTTCATTTCATTTATTCATTTATTTATTTATTTATTTCACACTTGGTACAACAGTTTCCACAGTTAGTTCTTTCAGACAAACCAACAACACTTTCTATCAGTAAAGCACTGCAACCATGTGTGAAAAGGAGCAGGAAGAAGAAAATATTCTTATTAAACCCTGCCCCCTATCTACAATCCAACTTATATTGCAAGGATTGCAATATACGTTTATTGCTTAAACCTTGGTGGTTTCCCATCTTTGCTCAAATAAGAACACGGTGCATTATTTTATGCAACAGCCGAGATGCAAAGACGCTGAAAGCACAGGAGAATCATTGTTTGCTTTCTCAGAAGAGGATGTTGAACAAACTAAAAAAAAGGACTCATCGAGCTGGAGTCATAGAGCGATGAAGTCGCACATCGCTTCAGAGACTAAAAAGTGAAGCTGTCTATCAAAGTCTGTAGAAAAATTGTACCTCAGTAAACATTTCCTGCTGAGTTTATAGTCTTACTGACTCATTTTGGATCCTGGTGACTACAAATTAAGTCAGTTTTCTAAATTTTGATCATCCTAATTTTCAGAAAGGATTAACCAGGATTATTGGATGATGACCTATGACCGATAAACCAATACATCTTCTCAGATAGTTAAACACACAAACCCTACAGCGCAGATCCTTCAGTCACATTAAATCAGCGCCTGTTGCCAAAGGCATTAGCTGTCTCACAGTCACATCAGCTTCTCTTCAAATCAGATTTCACCACGTTGCAAAAATCCATTCACCCACCCAATAAGGTCGTCGTTTACCTCACACGTTTACATTAAGGTCACTTGATAATAACTGGACCAGCTCCATAAAATAATTAACGCTCTTGAAAGTTGCATTATGTTGTGCTGTGTTTTCCTGATAAGAACTCATTATGGAAATACCAAATATCCCAACGAGCCAAAACAATAAATAAAAGTAGAAATATTTCCTCAGCTCTAAGTAAAAACAGTCTGTTTCCCTCGAGCTGTCAGAAATGTATAAACGGTCCTTAAATGAAGAGTCTCCAGTTACAGTGTGATTGACTATATCTCACTGAAAACTCTGTCTTTAGTTTTAATGAGACGGACTAAAACAACAATTTGCTGGAAGCATAAACCCCTTTTTTGTAAAGAGGCCACCCTGCCTCCGAAGAATGCTTTAAACTGGATACTAAATAGGCAGGATAGCTGCAACAAATGGAAACGATAATAAAAGAAAAGCATCCCCGAAAGAGGGTTTAGACTTTTCCACTTGTCAAAGTAAACTCATGTCTCGCTAAGGATCAGAAAAGCTGCCAGGGCGTTTCAGGCATCTCAAATTCTACTGAAGCATGGCAAAGGTATTTCATTTGCCCGTGCTTGACACTTTAGCCTCTTCACATTCTCACCATCATTCAGTGCATTCCTGGAAACGCTCTGACTCACTGTAAACGAGTTTCAGGTTTTCTTCATATTTCTACTTATTTAAACCCATTCACAACAAATGACTTTGTTCTACCTCAGATTGTTTCTTGTGTCAAATCAAAACACTGCGAGGAAGGTATAAAGGTTGGAACAATACTACTGCTCCGACACACACTGAATGCCAAACACTGTATCCATTATGTTTTCTTTTTTATGGTTTTTCTACCTTCAAGGCAGCCACTGCTACAAAAGGAGAAAGGAGTATTTAATAGCCCCATAAGTCTGCAGATTCTTGAACGTAACCTGGGTTTTAATGCTTGATGTGCTAAAATTGTGTGTTCACCAGTGTGAGGTTTCAGGAAGAATGCTCACCTTCCTCTGTCTCGTGCCAAACGATACCCTCCAGGTTGACGCTAGTCCCAGGTTGGCAGGGCCCCAAGCAGGCCGAATCACCCTCCAGCGCCCCTGACGCAGCTCCATCCTGGGTGTTGGTGCCGATGGACCGCGTCCTCACCGCCAGCTGCTTAGGGTTTGAGGTGGGCAGGGCCGGAGGGGAAAACGAGGGGGCCGAGGGCAGCGAGCATCCAGGGGCCCCGGGGTGGCCTGGAGCTGGGGGAGCTGGGACCGTGAACATGGGGTCCACCTGCAGAGAAGAGGATTCATTAAAGATCAGATTATGCCACTCAGCTTAGTTTCAATATATTTAATGAAATATATCTCCATGATTGAGCTTCCGCTTCTGCTGAAATTAATGGGAGAGAAAGATGGGCAGAAATATAAGGAAAAGGATTATTAAAGTCATTTTATTATTACTGGAGTGAATCCAACTGACAGATGATTATTTCAGTGTTGGATAATGCTGCATAATGGAGGCAAGAATCAGAAGGACATTTTAGAAGAGGAGACATTTTCTCCAAATGTCACACTATTCATTATTCCACCCTCAGTCTGCAGTTACCAGCTTCCTAATACTGAGTGTCAGCTAATCATCTCTCAACTGTATCCAGACTTTAAAAAAAAATCATTTTTTCTCACTCGGTCTGGTTTGATTCATCTTCATCTCTCTTTCCTGGCTGGTGAAGTCCTCACCCTTGTGAAATGCAAACATTTCACACTCGTTGAGCAGTTTTTGAGAGCAGAGGCTTGGATGAATGTTTCCAGCTAACGCACACATACGCACAGAAGCTGCACATTATAATTAGCTTCCGCTTTTGTACAGAGTGACTCAGAACAATAATACAGTAGTGCAAGAAGATAACAATGGATACATTCAGTGTGATTATAACAACAACAAAAAAAGTGTTTCTGCCAGGAAAGTGCTTGGACCCTGTGGCTTCTGGGGCCAGCAGGGCAGGGGACAATTTAATGTTGCACTCAATCCGTGTAGCCTATCCACCCACTAATTGCTAATTGTGGAGCAGTGCGAACATTTCTGCAAACACAAGGAGGTGGAATGAGACGGAGAGGGATGCAGGAGAGTTTATTTCACGCTCTCAGCATCAGGACAAAAGTAACTGCTCAGAAATATTTGGAAATCACACACAACATATTCAGAATCTTTATTGATATTCATTGTGTAACAATAATGTGTGTGACAACTGTCAGTGTAACCAACATCATCAACCCTTTGAGGGCTGGATTCAAATTCACAGCACACCGCATTTGTTCTATTTTAATATTAATCAATGTTAAATGTGGACATAATTGTGAAGAACACTCCTATTCAAAAAAAACCCCTTTCAAGCTTTTTGTGTGTGAAAAGGTTAAAAGGAACACATTAGATATTTGAACGTTTATAGATTGTCTGTAGATTTTAATGTATTTGAGTCCTCCTGCTCACTGGGTCACTGGGAGCACTGGTTGACATTATGGAGCTGTCGAACAAAAACGTGAATTTCATCTGTTTAAGATGAGGGTTTGATATATCAGAGGGATTTCTTTTCAGGTGTTTTTAAGTGTTTTGATTGTAGTAAAATAATTTCCTGTAGGTATTAAAGACATCATGGTGCCATTTTACAGTATCAGCTATTCAGATTTCAGGAATGAAGGGAACGGCAGCAGAGAACTTGTAGCAGCTTTCTCCCAATAGCATCACCCAGCTGCTTCTTATACTCACACTGAAGCTTCTGATGGGCTTTAACTTCAATTCTGATGTTTAATTATCATTTAGAAACCTGTGCCAGCATGAGGGGGCGCCCTCATGACCACTCAGCATGCATTAGAACAATACCAATATTCTTAGGTCTTCCTCTTAGCCTACTTTGGGTTTAAAGGATCTGAGGAAAGTTTATATTTCACATCACTGTGCACATTCAAACATCAAACCAATATGAGTCTAAATGTAGGAACAATAACACAGAAAAACCAATCCTATTGGTGTAACCATCACCAAGGCTTATTGTATACAAACAGATGAAAGAAACAGTAACATGTAATCTTTGTATCATTTAAAGCTCTGAACTCAAGTCTTAAATTGGGCTGGAAAAATCAAAAACCGTTTCTTTTTTGGTCTGCTAATTACAGAAAAAGAGGGAGCATAAAGGGAGTAACATGTTTTAAAATGGCAGGCAATTATAAATACGTTTCTATTAGCTCAACAAATACGAGCAAACACACAACCTCTTTCTGTGCAGTGTGTCACACAGTGTGTCACTAGCTAAAAGTATAGCTGCTGTATTTAAGACCGAGAGAACTCCAGTCAGAGATGGAGAAAGATGTAAAAAAGACAGGACAGACGTCTGCACTGATCAGCGGCATTTGAAACACTGGAAATTTCAAGCTTAGTTGCCATCATGTTGATTGTCTATGACTTATAGTTGCGTATTGTTCATATCATGAAACGTCCTTGGAAACAAACTGAGGTATTAACTTTATGTTATTTAAGCAATCCATGAAAAAACTCGGGATAAACGGGTTCGTTTGCAGCAGTTTGCAAATTTACAATAAAGTGTTGGACTGGTGCACAGTGGCTGTGGTGTTCATGGTCAGATTAGGTTACATCAAGTACAGCACAGATGAATTTGAACTGAAGCTGATATAAAGGCAGCAAACTGTCTGTCAGTGTAGGGGATGAAAATCAGCCAAGATAGCTAATGGATTAAGTTGTGTAAGATCAGCTGATCACCTGTACAAGAAGAAATCTACTGGACCTCACAACAGGAATTATTGTGATTTGTGGTGCTTTTCCGTACACTCAGCCATTTTCACCAATATTAGCGTTCCCCCATGTGCCAAATCCCACTTTAACCATTGACTGTACTTTTTTTTTCTGTTTAGGAGTAGAGGCAAAGAAAAACAAAAAACATTTGTATTCCCATGGACTGCTACATTTTATCATTATATAATTAAAAGAACAAGAGCTTCAGTTAGCTTGGCACGAAAAAAAGCTGGTAGAAATGTCCTTCAAAGAGCTGCTTTTTACTATTTTGGGTATATTTCAGAGCTTTTTTACTTTTACTTGAATAAAGAAGTTTAATGAGTACTTCAGCTTTTATAGGAGTATTTTTAACACATGTATCATAATTCTACTTAGGTAACAATTCTGCACTTTTGCCAGTTCTGCGGGGACCTGAAAAAGATTATTTTCAGGTCTGGTTAAACGCCAACATCACCATTGTTTCCCACTATATTAATCAATACTAAATTGTCAAAGAGTTGGCAGCTCGTCTTGTAACCGGAAAGTTGCTGGTTCGAGCCCCGGCTCGGACAGTCTCGGTCATTGTGTCCTTGGGCAAGACACTTCACCTACCGCCTACTGGTGATGGCCAGAGGGGCCAATGGCGCAATATGGCAGCCTCGCTTCTGTCAGTCTGTCCCAGGGCAGCTGTGGCTACAACTGTAGCTGCCTCCACCAGTGTGTGAATGTGAAAGTGAATGAATAGTGGAATTGTACAGCGCTTTGAGGGGTCCCGAAAAGCGCTATATAAATGCAATCCATTATTATTATTAAATTAGTTCAAACTCAAAAAAACAACTCATTAGTTTTTTGTGAAACGTTACGAGTCATTTCATATTCCTTCTTTGATTCCAGGCTCCAGTGATGTTTCATAAACCCAAGAACATGTTTTTCATGGTTTGTGAGTGATCTTAACTACTATCATCACCATAGTTCGATGTAATGAAACCCATGTCAACGGTGCCTTTAAGAGCTCCTCTCTTATCTTCACCACTTATTATAGTCCCAATTACAGCAGCTCTGGGAAATAATTCTGCTGAGAGAGCTGCAGCAATCAGCAGTGAAGGATTTTTCTCGCCATTATGACTCAATAAAGATTACGGGCTTGACAGATATCTCACTGCGTGATATTCTTGAGTGATTTAACACTCAAAAGAACTTCTTCACCACGCTGCGTCTGGAAGTGCCCGAGAAAACAGCAGCACTTTGTCAGGTCTGACACGGAGCTTTTCTGTAGTGTTTGGTTTCCCAGATAAAGGAGGTCCGCTGCTGTTGTGTTATTATGGAGATCAATCAGTTCCTTGCAGGTTTCTCTAAAATCTGACAAGAGAAGATTTTTCTTACTTCTTTAGAGAGAAAAACAAAAGACTCGAGGGTGCCCTGCACCTTTTTTAGAAATGCCTCTACTTTTTCTTCTACAGCAGACTTCGATACTGCCAAGTTTATTGTTGCAGCTCCAGCGCTGTGGACTGAATGTCAGCCAATATTCAATTTGAAAAGACTCACTTTGAAATCAGGGCCAAAAACTACTGGTTTCAAAATCCATAATCAAATATGATCATTAGTGTTTGAGGGAAATAGTCTCCCTGATTATCAATCAAAGGTTATAATTCACAAAATGTTATTTAATTGTAAAAAAAGTGAAATAGAATAAAGAATTTCATACTTTGGGATAAAGTCTGAAAAAGTATTAGTGGCCTTATTAAAGGTTCTCTTTTTAATTAGGCCTCAGTCACTAAAGGCTAGAGACCCGGGGGTTACTGCCAGTCACTAGAGTGAAACTGGTTCCAAGATTACGGTTCTGCACTAAAAACTAGAATCATTGCTTTGGTTGCTAGCAGGTTACCTTTGTCCCACATGGTTTGTATGGAAGAAGCCGGCTTGTTTGCAAACTACTCGACAAGCATTAGTGGGACGGTGAAAAGTGCGACGTAAACTCGACACGGACATCATTCACCATCAAAGTTAAGCTTCTGAAATGTGTTGGTTGGAGTGGTAAAGCAAAATGAAGGCGAACTCTCTCTGTTGTGGGAAAAACTAAGTATGAGCATGACAATCTGCCAGTGGCTAAAGATACCAACGGGAGGTTTGTGGTACTACTACAGCTGGAGATAACTAGCAGCGACTGACCAACGAGTCAGGGAATACACATTTTTCCCAAGTTGAAACTCCATGTTGGACATGTTTTTTTTTAAAAGTATTTGTTTTTTTAAACTTTTGTCTTTTTAACCGTCACCATTTGCTCAAGAGCCTTCACAGTCTCTCAGACTAACATTAGAAACAAGAACATAGAAACTATTTAAGTGGCTAAAATGACTGATTTGGTCCATTTATGCCTGTTTTAATTGTTGCTTTTGTGTTTTTCATTCCTATAAAGTTTCTTTTATCTATTGCAGACGTCAAAAAATGTAATCAATGTGTCTTCATCAACAGAGCTGTTTTCATCATCACTTTACGCATGCTTCTGC